TGAAGCCTTAAGATGACTTCACTTCCTTAAAGAAATAACAGCAGTTAAGGGTTTCTGACTATAGTTTAAACAATGAGATTTTCTTGGGACATCTGTTTTGAGATCACATTTTGAATAGATATGAACTCATTTCCTACTAAGCAAGCCATCTACTATTGTTGATAGCTGTTTACCAGTTCTATGAGTCAGATATTAGCTAGTGGCAAAGGTCCCTCTTAAATCCTCCGAGCATTCTTTAAACTGTGTACATAGTGTTTTCCTTAAATAAAATGTTAAGAGAAGGTAAAAATGCAGTCTTTTCCTGCCTCCTGGTAAATTATAGTGCACAAAGTCTTGCACTTGGGAATAATATTTAATGTATTTATCTTTGAAGAGTCATTTCCTTTGTTATCGTTAGTTAAGGGAATAAGATATTAGGTTTAGCAAGTATTTAAATAACACAGAAACTACCGAGATGCTCACTGTGTCAATATTTATACAGCATTTAAAAACTAGAAGTAAAAATAAGTTTCCTTTATTTAGATTAAATCGACTGTGATTAATTTAGTACCCTCAAAAATGTGGATGATGCCCCCCAAAAGAGATAAGCAGATAAAAACACAGCTATAGATACTATGGGGTTGACCTTGGGTTCACCGGTTTTAAATTCTGCTTTTCCAATATCCTAGTCCCAATTTCCAAGCAGCACTTTTTTAAGCTGGTTATGTAGATCAGTCCCTAAAGCAAAAAAAATAGCAATTTATCTGGCCTGTATGTTGTGGATAGTGTTGCCACTAAAAAGAATCCAGGACATTTTTCCTTCTTATCTACAATGTAGCTCATATCAGCCAACCTGTCACAAGATAGTACTTGATATAAACAAGAGATTGCAAAGACATCTCAGTAATCAATATCAGGATGGCTACAGTATGGAAACCCCAACCAGTGCATATCATTTGTCTCAGCATCTATTTCTATGGCCAAATGAAGCATTAATTCAAATCATAAATCTATGGTGATTTAAATCTGGGAATGAGCACCTGCCTGCTTTAATGATTTATTTTGTACATTTCAGTAAGCAGGAGATTTGTCCATATGAACTGACAGGTCACCTTCAGATGCCAGGAGCGGACTGTTTATCACCATGCAGACTAGCATCTCATCTTAGCAAGTAAATATTAAACTAAAAGAATCCAATTGATTGTGGATGAGGGAGAATGGAGACACGGCCATATATTTTACTCAGTGTGCTGATGCCTCACTCGGATCTATCCCGAAGTCCTCACTTCTTCCTAAAATGATCATTCTGGTGGAAAGATGTGAGCTCAAGGTTACCATGTAAAATTGGCATATAAAATAATAATTTGTCAGTGTCATCGACTGCTCTAAAGACCTTCTTTTTTTTTTTTTTTTCTTTTTGGCTAATTTTGACAATTCATATTAAGAACTGGAAGGAGTTCTGTGTAATGAAAAGATCCCTTCACCTCACTAAGCCAAATCAAACCAAACCAAACAAACACAAAATCTGTTTTCTGAGGCAATATAGATTTACTTATACCTGGGGTGGGGGTTTGGGGGTGGGAACTCAGGTAATGTTTCTACACAGGAGAACCTAAAATGTTCACCAGAACTTATGAGCCAGATGAGTACGAGAGAAAATGAACCCTGAAGTGATCTCAAAAATGTCACTGTATTCAGGCAGGGCTGAGCAGCAACAATACATCATGTAAGTGGCACCCCTCCGAGGGGCTTCACTCCTTCAAAGAGACAATTGATAGATTCATGAGAGCAGTAAGGTTGTATTCTGAAATATAGGCCTTTGAGATTCTTGGGATTCCTCCTAGAATCCGTATGCTTCTATACCACTTCCTACGCTAGCTAGCTGATGCTCCTGGATCCAGCATATCCTGTTTTGACTGCCTGCTTACATAGCCATTCCTCCCATAGACTGGATGCCCACTGAGTACTGGGATGGGATTATAATCATTTTGTGTTACTAGAATGAGCTAAAGTCAAATGCAAACAAAATCCAAAGGACACAAAAGCTCCCCTCTCAATTTACTGACAAGCCTACAGCTTAACAAATACCTAACAGAGACAAAGGGAAACAGAGAAGGAAATAATTCATGGTTGTAGAAAGAGGAAGAAGGTAATTCTCAGGAGAGCAAATTTGGAATAATAATAATAGCAAAAGCAGTACCAGTATGATAACCTTACTGGTGACCCAACAACGGGATAAGCAGACGTAATAAATAAACACTTGACTAACAGGATCTCCTTTAATTCTCGTGGTGTAGATATTATTATGCCATTCCCCCAATATGCAATGTTAGGCTCAGAAAGTTTACATAACTTCCCAAAGTCACAGAACAGGTAATTGCTGAAAACGTACCAAGAGGCAGGCACTGCTGTCAGAAACAGAAGATGGGGGGCCGTATAAAGCAACAGCCCAATTCAGCAACTACTTTGATCTATGCGAACTCAACTCAACACCCAGGAGTTCCCTGTACCTTCCTCACCCAACCCCTCCACCAAACCTTCTTTCACTGATCTCTAGAAAAGGAGGGAGGGGGTGTGCTCTGGAAGGATAATAAATCATAAATTCTCAGACGACAGCGGCATGTGAGACTAGAATAAAAATGACAATGATAACATTTCCCCCCCCACCCAAATCAGCTACATATATCTAACAGAAATGATCTACCTGCCTCAAGGACGAGCAATGACACCAATGTTAACACACTCTAAAAATATTAAGACTCTGTAGGAAAACTCAAATAAATTTTTGCTCCTGATTCAAATTGATGTTGGACGGTGGGGGTCAAAACTAAAAAGCAACATGAAGAGCCAACTAAATACCTTGATGGAAGAAAAGTGATTTCCGCCAACTAGAACACGAAAGAAAAACCAAATTGTTTCTTTTTTTAAGTCATTATGGTAGCCCATGTGCCAAAATCATTAAGGTAAACCACAATTTGGTCAGTAGGCAAATGTTATTCTATAATAGCAAATATGAAATGTATGTCAATGCCTAATTATGAACCATGTTCTCCTTATCTTATGCCTATTGGATTTTCCAAAGTCAACTTCTGTTCTGCTGCTCAGGAAATTCAAACAGAGATTATCATGTTTTAATATCTTTTGTTTTCAATGTTATTAAATTGCTTAATTTAAATATTCCCATTTCCAACACCAACTAGCAAGAAGAACCTGCATTAAACGCTTACTCTTCTAAAATTCTGGAAACAATCCAGATTGTTTTGCAATGGTAACTAAAATTTATAGTGGCCAATTACTTGTTTTTAAGTGTCTACTTTTGTTCTACTTTACAGGCTGAAGAAGGAGGCTGCTTATTTTTTTAAAAATGTACTTAATAGTTCCAAAAAGAGAATTAAAATTCATTCATTTTATTTCAAAACAGTTTTTAATTTTCAAAAGTCTGAATTTATGTGTGTGAACCATGACCTTAACAACCCGCAGCCCTCTATCCTCTCTCTAGGAGCTGCACAAATGCAAGCAGTCATGTTTTCCTTCATCCTTTCCAGCTGTAAGGCCATAGCTTTGGCTCCCTTCCACATCTTTTCATCCTTCTAAGAACTGCCACCTTCTCTATAATCTATTCTCAAATCAGCCCCATTATCGCTGCCTCTTTTATATTTCCTTTGTGTAGTGCTATGGGGAAAGTTCTATTTTCCCCTTTTCTCCTTTAGAAGCTACCCTTTGGCATCACTGCAGCAATGATATTTTGCATATTGTGTATATATTTGACAATTACTTCCTACGCTAATATTAATACCTAGCGTATGCTCCCATGAAACTGTTGTAAGAATGATTATTACTATAATCTGTAGCATTCCTTCATATACCCTTAACTGTCTGACCCTGGACAGAAAGTAGAGAGCTGCTGAGTATCCAAAGAAATAATCTATTAAAACACTGCATGGAGAAGAAAATTTAATCGAACTGCCAAGAATGATTGTGTCCTTCATGAACATATGTTGGATAGAGTATCTTATACATATCTTGTAATAGCCAAATTTCTCTTGCTAAATTATATATTGAGCACGATTTCTAAATTTTAAAGAGAAACGATACAGGGCAGTGGCAGAATACATTTGATCTCACCGACACAGAGACGTAAAAGATATCATCAATAAAAATGTTAACTCACATGTGAAGTTGTATTTGAAAAATGAACGACCCAAGTGAGTTCTGCAAAATGAAAGCTGTTGGTTTGCGTTTAAACAATGACTATTCACTTTTCATCTCTTTCTCCAAATCTCAAGGAAAAAAAAAAAACAATCAGGAGAAATTGAAGTTGTATATTTACCATGAGACATGCTGATAATGGTTATATATAAAGAATTAACTCTCAAGATAATTCTCATTCTTGATAGCACATGAAAGAATTGAGTTTACATGTCCCAATGCTGATGCAAACTTATTTGATAACAAATCCATCAGGAATTAAAAAGATAAAGTATGGGTTTGCCTGTAATTATGCTAGTCAATATTTAAAATTTCTGATTATTGGGGCTCCTGGGTGGCTCAGTCAGTTAAATGTCAGACTCTTGATTTTGGCTCAGATCATGATCTCAGGGTCCTGAGATAGAGCTTTGCCTGGGGTTCCACACTGGGTGTGGAGCCTGTTTAAGATTTTCTTTCTCCCTCTGCCCTTCCCTACCCACTCACACATGCTCTCTATAAAAACTGAACTACACTAAACTCAACTCAACTAAAATTCTGATTATTAAAACTTACTTGTATTATAAAAGATGTTAACTGAATGCTGTTAGTAGACATTGCCTACAGAAAGCTGACCCTGTGTTAAAAAATTATGTTGCCAATTATTTATTCAGAATGCCTGTTGTTAGACTGGCAAATAGCACCTCCAAAATATCCACTGTTTTCTAAGCTAAAAGGACCAGCTTCTTGAATGGGCACTTGACGGTTCTGTTCTGGAAAAGGAAGTAATTTAGTTCCTACAAGATCACAAAAGTTTCCGTGAACATACAACTTACCGACACTCGAATTCATGTCCCCATTTTCGGAATCTGCTCCATGTTGGCTATTAGTGGCATGATAGTTGCTCATGGCTTCTAATTTTATTTTTTTCACCTTCATTGCCTCAGCGATGGCTGCATTGGTAGCAGCGGCAGCTGCTGCGGCTGCTGCTGTCAGACCTTAAAAGAATAAATTAAAAACAAGGTAATTCAAATTCTGATCTTTCATGTACCAGCCCATGTACTTTATAGAGCACACATACAAACATATGAGAGTATCTGACTCTGGGCGCCACTCTGATAACCTGTGTTCACTATCCACCAGCCCATGAGAAAACATTGATAGGATGGGGAGAATGCACTCTAAACTCCCAAATTAAATATTCGCAGAAACATCATTCATACGTAGAAGGATCACGGTAGAAATGCATCCAGAATTCTCTCTCAAACAGACCAGTTTGAATATGTTATTCCCTGTTTAAAATCCTCTGCAGCTGCCTAGAGAAAACGGGGAGGGGAGGGATGTCTGAACTGCTGAGCTCAATTCACAAAACCTTTCACTAGGAAGTGTAAACCTACCTAATCACTCCATTTTCTTCATCCTCAGGCCACCCTCCAGCCACCTGCACATGCCACCAATAGGCACACGTGCCCTGCCTCTGCGAGCTTGTGCCTTCGCTTGTGCCTTTCCCTTTGTCTGGAATAGCTTTGCCCCACGGCTCCCTTCCCTGACCTCCTGGCTGCCAGACTTTTAGCCCCAGAGTGAACACTTTGAACCACTGTGCCATGTTTGTCCAGAACAGTTCACCTTTGCTCGTCCAGAGAGTGGGACATAGGAGTGGACATGAGACTAGACACAGAATTTGAGGCCAGACTGTGGCAGAACAGAAAGCGAGGGCCATGCCTTATGGACAGGCCATAGATAGCCTGCTGAGGTTCTGGAGCAGGGGATGGGTTTGTTTTTCTTAAAGCTGTGAACTTTTTTTCAACAGGTCAGTTCCTTTCATCCTGGCATCCCTCACCTGCAAAATGACAGACTTTGCAACATCTGAATAATCTCCCCAATTCTAAAATTTTGGCAGTCCAGGATATATAACCCTGCTCCCCATCCTCTTTTTTTTTTTTTTTTTTTTTGCTATGGCTGCTTCAGAGTTTGTGACTACAGTGCTTCAGCTCCATTTGAATTTATCTGAGTGATTTATTTGCACTCCCAGCTGGTGGATTGGAGCCGGAACACCTCTCTCCTATTTTCCTCCCCACTAATCATCACTTCTAGTTACTACAGCAAATAAGTTACAGCCGCAGAAACTGTAAGAAAGTCTGGTTTTTTTTTTTCCTAGAAATCTCTATTTTTTTAGAGGTTAGAAGAGCTCACCTTTCCTTCATATCAGACCAAAGAGGCCTTGACAACTTTCACCCCAATGCAACAAGACCTTCAGAATAGATCTTTGAGTGAAAAACTGATAACTACCTTCTAAAAAGGCACTGATGTAAACTCAAAGAATTCATCTGGGTCTAGCGTGTACATTTGTTGCCTTTTAAGTCCCAACTTGAACTGATTCTCTCATCTTCCTATGATTGAATTTACTCCCCATTTACTCATTTCCTTCAAAGTTGTTTCAGAACATTCTCTTTCCTGTTAAAATTCTCCTCGTGTTTCCCAGCAGCTCTCTCTCTCGATTTTGCCTTGTCACAAATGTGACCATCTCACATGCCCCTTCCTGTCGTTGCCTAGTGTTGCCCCATCTCTAACTGATGACAGTTCCAGGTCTTTATCTTTTTTGTTTTTTGTTTTTAAGATTTTTTTTTAATGTATTTATTTGACAGAGAGATCACAAGTAGGCAGAGAGGCAGGCAGAGATAAAGAGGAAGGGAAGCAGGCTCCCCACCGAGCAGGGAGCCCCATGCGGGGCCCGATCCCAGGACCCCAGGATCATGACCTGAGCTGAAGGCAGAGGCTTTAACCCATTGAGCCACCCAGGTACCCCTTTATCTTTGTTTTTATGCAGCAGGTAAATCTTGGTAATAGCATTCAAATAAGGAAGATAAAACTACAACTTGAGATATGATTGTTATTATTATTATACACATCTGAGTCAAATTCAGTAGCATGAAATATAACTATGCATGATGTAGCCACAATATGAGGATTAAATGGGATAGATCGCGTGAAGAAGGCCATATCATGTTTTGCTTTTGAGAGACAGAGAGAGCATGGACAGGGGACAGGGGAAGAGAAGAGAGAGACAGAATCTTAAACAGCAGCACGCTCAGCTGGGTCCTGATGTGGGGCTTGATCCCACAACCATGAGAGCATGACCTGAGCTGAAATCAAGAGTCAGATGCTCAACCGACTGAGCCACCCAAGTGCCCCCGGGCATATCATGTTGTTAAACACTAGGCATGCCCTAGTGTTTCTACTCCCTCAGAAAGTCCAGTCCTAGCTGTTTCCTGCAGGATATGATGGACTGGCCACACCCCCCTCAGCTAGAAGAATCTTACTTCTCCTTAGCTGGTGACACTAACCCTTGACCTTTAAAAATATTTTTTTTATAATTTTATGTATCTGATCTTATTTATGGTACTATTCTATTTGTCCACTTGACAGTCTAACCCTGCAGTTTTACATTTCAAATACATATTTCAAAATATACACAGTGGTTCCCCCCTTGTCCATGGGAGGTATGTTCCAAGAACCCCCTCAGTTGCTGAAACCACAGATGGTGTTGAATCTTCTATATACTATGTTTTTTTCTATACGTTCATACCTATGACAACGTTTAATTTATAAATTAGGAAGTAAGAGATTAACAGCAAAATAGGACAATTATAACAATGAACTGTAATAAAAGTTACATGAATGTGGTCTCTCTCCCCCCCTCAAAATATCTCATTGTACTGCACTCGCCCTCCTCGTGATGACGTGCGATGATAAGCTATCTGTGTGATGGAGTGGAGTAAGGGAATGACGCCGGTGCTGTGACATAGCGTTGGGCTACTAATGACCTTCTGATGATTTGTCGGAAGGAGGATCATCTGCTTCCAGACCGCAGTTAGCCAAATGGGGGGAAAGGAAACCACAGATAAGGGGGACGACTGGAAGCATGTGACCTATACATGCTATCACTGAACTATATAATACTTATAAGTATTGAATTTTTCGTCTAGTTTAATGCAGTCAGGAAAAAAGCGATGACATTTTCAGCCGTTGCTGATTTTAGGCCCACTAACTCACCTGGCTCACAATTCTAATTCTTTAATAGCTTTCAGATTCAAGCAATTTTCTCCATTTCCCCGGCTCCCTCTAGTGCCGACTGCCACCCTTTCTTCCGGGGAGCCATGTAATAATCTCTCAACAGCTGGCACTGTCCCCACTTCCAATCTCTTAGGCTTCGTACAGCAATCACCATAACCTTGTGGAAAAGAAAATCCAATCACGACATTCAATGCCTGCTCTTGAGAGCAAGCATTTCACGTGGTGTTTCACGTCATGCTCGGTGATTTGCCTATCTGTGTAGCACATTCCATCCCCCCAGCTCCCACTTGCTCTCTGTGCTCTAGACACGTCAGCCTTCTCCCATCTCCTCTAGCGGACTCTACATTCCTTTCAAGACAGACATGGGACATGTTCCCATTTCTACAAAAGCTCTCCCATCCCTGTCCCAGACTAGTCACGTGTCCATTATCTGATGGCCTAAATATTCTGCCCTAGGAGTAGCAGGCTCAGCCTCCTGACTCTTCAATCTACCTGGGAAACAATGATCACCATTTCAAGAATCAGCTCAAAACTCACTTCTTGTAAAGAACAGACCCTCCTTACTACACCCTCAAGAGGAGAACCAGCCATCCTGTCGTTTGCGTTCTCAACATGCTTCATGTGAGCTTGCCATCCTTTGTGCATCAGAATCACCCAAGGCGCTTTCAAGCCACGCAATTGGCTGAGTCCTAACATAGGACGTCCTGGCTGGGACTCCTGCATCTGTATATTTTGGGGGTGGATTTCACTGTTCCCCAAGTCATTTCAGTCTGCAATTTGAGAGGACAAACTCAGACCCTTGAATTCTTTAATGCTCTTTTGTGGGAGGAAGGATGGGAGGTACCAACGGGGATGGCAGGTTTAAGGCTAGCTCCTCTAACTAGGTTCTAACTCCAAAAGCACAGAAACATGTCCCTAATATATGCATCCCAAACATCAACCACAATGCCTGCCACACATTGTCACTGAATGAAAAAACACTTCTGAAACTAGATTACTTGGACAGCCACAGGAGAAACATGGTCACTGTTTTAACAATAGGTGTTATTAAAACATTTTGTTGATGTTACAATCAATGTGAAAATACTAGGAGTAGCAAATTTCATGAATCTAATACAAAGCAGGACTCTCCCATGCTACCTCTGCCTAGGGCTGGAGAGGATCACCAAATGGCTCACCCACCCCACCCTCTGTGTTTATTGCACTTCCTGTTGGCCTTGCAATGGCCCTTTCAGATCTCTGATGCAATCATCAAATCCCCTCTGACTTGCTCTTAGAAAGAGGTCCCATTTTATATTTTGTTCCAAAATGAAGTTGTCTTTGAAAAAAAAATTATAATAAATTCCCAAAATAACTTCAGCTTTCAGTCTACATAGAGAATTCAATCCGTGAAAACATTTACATGTCATCAAGGATTGTCTACTTGTGTAAATACTGGCAACCCATGCCGTTTATCATGCACCGTTCCCTCCCTGCCTCACCCTTTTCTCAGAGCATTTGTTCCCTCTGCCTCAGATTCACAGATTTTTGTCATGTCCACCTTCAGTATCCCTCCCTTGAGTACATTATATTGCAAATTTACCACTTCTTTAACTCTTCCCAATCCAGACGAACCATTTTTATCTCAGAACTAGGTTATTCCGGGTTTCTCAAAGTGATAGTCAACATCAAGTCCAGCTGTCTCGCATGACAAAGTCAGAGGTGGTCTCCCGCAGACACACATTCGCAGACTATGTCTGGGACTGGCTGAGGACTCTGTGTTTTCACCTTGCAACAAAACATGCGAATTCTGGTGTTCACTGCCCTTAGATTATTTGAGGGCTGTAATGGACACTAAAGTGTCTCCACATCTTACAATAAAAGTTTATTAACCAAGCAGATCATCATTGCCCTTGTTTTCAAAAGCGAGTATGCTTAAGCATCA